AATACAAGTTTTTTTATTTATAAACATGCAAACATGAATTATAGATTTGAAAAACAGTTCTATTCAAAATATGTCAAGAAGGGCAGTGATGATGCCATAATTAGAGGAGAAACAGATTTGTACATAAAGACCTGTTCAATCAAAATTCATATCAAGTCTTAATGATGCAGTGCAGAGTTAAATCAATCCGCGGTTTGGTGGTAGTCATGTACACTGTGTTGTCAAAGAATTGAAAATAAAAAAAAATCTTTTGCTTTCTTATCATCAAATACTGTTATAATCTGGCTTATAAATTAAGGTAACCATATGCTTCTTTCATATTTTGATATCAACTTTGTACTTTTAATGCAGACCTTGACATAATTAACTCAAGCTCTATTTTCTGATTATTTCAAAGAATTTCACAGCTTGTGTTGTCAAACAGCTTGATTAAGATAACACTGTCAGATTCAACTGTTTTATTCTTTTTAAACACCAGTTCATATACAAATTTATTCTGCTTCAATCGGTATTTTGAAGGATGTGTCCTTAGTATGTGAATGAAAAAATATAAACATTTAATTATATGTGTTAAATATGAACTCTTGAATTGACGAAGACCTGAAATGATGCTTAAAGAAAAAATATATCTAAGATATATTTTTTTAAAAATGAGCCAGAATAATTCCATAAACTTTTTTTTCAAAGCAATATCAATACGTTTCGTAATAAAAAATTAGATGTTTCAAAACACAAATACCAAAGAACTAAAGGTAGAGTAAAAAAAAATAAACCGAGAAAACAAAAGCAAAGCCAAAACTAAAAGATCCCATTCTCTTTCTCAAAAAAAATTCAATAACTCAAACAAAAAATATATAAAAATAAAGCATCGAAAAAGAAATAGTAAGAACATATAAAGGAATCAGATAATCAGATGAAATAAAAACCGAACAAATACTTCAAATTTAATCACAAAACAAGAGGCCCGTGGGCCGCATCAATCACCTGAGTAACTTTGGTGATGTAGTTATTTACACGATTTCCCCACTTGTTATACGTATTGTGGCCCACACCTCCCCCTCCCCAATTATGATGTTATTGATTTAAAATCTACACTACCCAAGGATGCTTACACATAAGATTTTTCTTATATATTTCTATGTTAAACTTGGATTCCCTATTGTGGCCCCAATCTACCCCAGGGGGTCATGATTTTAACAATTTTCAAATTTACAGTACTTCCAAAGTGCTTCCAAATAAGTTTCAGCTTTCCTGGACCAGTGATTCTTGAGAAGAAAATTCGTAAAGATTTTTCCTACATATTTCAATGTAAAACTAGAACTTCGTATTGTGGCCCGCCCTACCCACAGGGGTCATGATTTTAACAATTGAAAATCTACAGTACCTCAAGATGCTTCCTTAAAAGTTACAGCTTTGATGGCCCAGTGGTTCTTGAGGAGAAGGTTTTTTAATGACCCTACCCTATTTTCGTCTTTTCTTGATTATCTTCCCTTGTAAGGTGACTTGGTTCTTCTTTTTGACAATTTAAACTCCTCATTACCCCAGGACACTTTGTACCAAGTTCAAAAGTTCTTGAGAAGATTTTTGAAAGATGTCATTATTTTTCACTAATTCATAATTATCTCCCCTTGGAAGAAGGCGTGGTCCTTTATTTGAACAAATTTGATTCCCCTTCACCCAAGAATGTTTTTATTAAAATTTCGTGAAAATTGACCAAGTGGTTCTTGAGAAGAAGATGAAAATTTGAACAGTTTACAGACAGACAGACAACGGACATCAGGTGATCATAAAAGCTCACATGAGCTTTCAGCTCAGGTGAGCTAAAAAGAAACAGATCTTAACAACAATGGACTAAAAACAAATAACAAAATCATCAAAACAAGTCACGCGTTTAAAGTAAGTTGTCGTACTCACATTTTCGTTTAGCACAGCGCTGGAGACATTGGTGTATTGTTAGAAAACGGTTGTCATTTCCTTCACAGCCGCCGTAGATGAATGGCTGACACTGACGGGTCAGACTATTGTACCACCAGCGTGGGAACCAGCCATAACAGGTCCCAGCCCAGATAGCATGACTACGTTGGCCCAACGTTGGCTAATGGTTGGACCGTTGGCCGATGGTTGGCGTTGGGTTTACAACGTTGGCCCAATGTTGGGCCAATGTTAACATTACACTATTTTACTCAGAGGCCGATGTTGATTGGGGACACAACGTTGGCCCAATGTCGGGCCAATGTCAACTTTACAATTCTACTCGGAGGCTGAGGTTGGTTGGGGACACAACGTTGGCCCAACATTGGGCCATTGTTGTTGGCTTGTCACCACTAAGTTGACATATTTTGATGGGAGTACACCATTGGCCCAACGTTTGGCCAACATTGGTGAATCACGTTCTTATTTTGTTGTAGTTTGTTGGGCATACAACGTTGGCCCAATGTTGGGTCAATGTCAACAAAACAGTATTTTACTTCGAAGCTGGGGTGAGGACACTACAATGACCCAACGTAGGACCACTGTTTACAACGTTGGGTTTACAACGTTGGCCCATTGTTGGGTCAATGTCAACATTACAATATTTTACTCAGAGGCCGAGGTTGGTTGGGGACACAACAGTGACCCAACGTTGGGCCAATGTTGTTAGCTTGTCACCACTAAGCTGACAGATTTTGTTGGGAGTACAACATTGGCCCAACGTTCGGCCAACGTTGGTGAGTCACGACATTATTTCGATACAATATTTTGCATAGACAACGTTTAAGTGAAGTACATGTGAACTGTTTGTAATAATATCGGACAAGAAGATGGAAAAGTGAAAGAAAAAGAAAGAGTAATGTTACATATATATATACCAACCATGAGTACCTAAAAAAGCATGCATGACGACGTATCAAGTTATATAACTTTTATATTTTTTGGTTTAATGCAAACTTTAAAATATGTGTAAATGTTTAAACACTACTAGTTCTATAAAGTAAATGTTTTTGAGAATAACATAACAAAAATTCAAATTAACTTGCATATTTTAAAAAATGTAAGAGGAGCAAGACACACTTTCTAAAGTGTTACATTTAGGGGGCATATTCTAAGATAAGAGAACATTTCCTGACCAAACAATTAGGCCAGGGTTTTTCACAGCGTGAGACTGGCCAGTTTCTATGGTAATTGTGATATCTGATAGGACAGGATGGTCATATCTGCATCCTTTTAGCACGCCTAACATTTTAATCTCGGATGTTTCCTACAGCAGAACATTGAAGATTTTATGTTAAAAAGAAAGCTTTGGAATGTGTATTCTTTAATGTGGATTAACTTTTATTGTCATGTCCAGACATTTCACATACGGATCGAAATGTAAGTACTATATTAACCTCAAATAACATGTATTTCAGATTTAAAACACAAAATGCAAAGTTTGTTTCATGCGATCTTTATCTTTTTTCTTAGCTCGCTTTAGTTCTAAATTATATATGTAACTAGATCAGTCGCTAATCACTGTACCCTTTCTGCATAAAACTTTTAAAATAAAATGTATCATTGATCTTTGTCAATCAATATTACCTTAATCAAAATCTAATTTGTAAATCTTATTTTTGTTTATCTTTGAATTTTTGCTTGGGTCACTTTCGTTTCATAAATTTCTCTTATATTTCTACCATAAAGAAAACAAATTTTGGAATTGTTACCTTGTGTTTCACATGTTTCAGGGAAATCAAATCCCTTGTGATTAAAGTTCTCATTTTATGTAATTAGTGGAAATGACTTGGTGAATGAAGAGGAGAGTATTTGCTGCCATGTTTTAAAAAATTGTATTGGAAGGCAAATAAAGATATCCGGCTTTTTCAAAGATGATAAGGATTTAAAAAGTAAGTAATAAAATACGTGCTCTGTTCCCCTGACAAATGCTGTACTTATACATTATAATAAATGCAGAAAAAAATTATAAATAATACATCTGAATACCCCCCCCCCCCCCCAAAATTTAAACATGTTAAATCTACAAATAATCGAATATCCTATGTAGTAATAGTTTCGAATACACAGAATTAATTAAAAATACTATAAACTTGCAATTGTGTAAATTAAGTACTGCTTAAATTTAATTTTCATCATTTCTCTTTCTTTTTTGAGATTTGCTTAATAAATTGATTTTATTTTTTATTTTAAGGAGCTGCTCGGACTAACCGCTAGTATGCCGATTCATCTTTTCTATGGAATTTCACTGAGTACGACAATGAAGGAAAAATAAGAACAAGCAGGACAAGAAAGAAGAAAATGCGTTCAAAAATACAATGGAGGACAGTGATTGGTTATAAACCTGTTAACAAAAAGTGTATAAGTTAAATGTGTGGAAAACTTTTAAAATTTAGTTTACTAGATACAAATTTCAATCTAAATCAGAGGCAAATTATTTATTGCTTTAACTGTATTAAAACATTTGTTATTTTATACTTTCACTTACTTTTCTTGTATAGAAACAATGAATTTAATCACTGATAATTTATTTTGTTATGATAAATTGTAAGAAGTTTAACAAGCCATGTAAATTTATTTTAGGTAACTTGTATTTATTGAGTAGGATTGGTGGTAGATTTTTTTTTTTTTTGATTTCAGAAACGATCGGATTTGTTAATATACAAGTTTGTAACAATTAAATCTTTATACACATTGGGCCAATGTTTGTCCAATATATCGAGCCAACATTGGGCCAATGAGCAAAATGACATTGGGCCAACGTCATTTGCCAACATCGGCCCAATGTTCTTGATGACGTTGGGCCAACATTGGCCCAATGTCGCATTCATAGGGCCAATGTTGGCACAACATTGGGCCAATATCTGCAGAAATAACATTCTACATTGGGCCAACGTTGGCCCAACATATCGGGCCAACATTGGGCCGATGAGCAAACTTACGTTGGACCAATGTCATTTGCCAACATTGGCCCAATGTAACCGATGACATTGGCCCAACGTTGGCCCAATGTTAGCATGCTATCTGGGAGGGGCCCTCGGCAGGGTGCACAAGTCAGCTAAATAAAATGTGTCATAAAATCAAGTATAGTTTTCTATTAATATGTTTTACGGTGTGACCGTTGGGGCGAGCGCAGCATTGTATTGATAAAAACCATATAAACAGGTTACACCTGTACTGTCTATCCTTAGTTCATTAAACAAGAAAGAAAATTAGAAGAAAACAAAACAGTAAAAGAATCATCAATGCATCGGGATCGAGTTTCCGAACTTCCAGAAGCTTCCGACAAATCGGAAATACCCGAGCCGTTTGAATAATGTAAGTATGACGTCAAATAAAAAGTCCTGTTGACTTAGGACGCAAAAGATACATTTTGTGCTATAAGATTGAATAAAATCTTTGTAATTTTTTTCAAGTAAGTTGTTGCTATGTATAATCCACCATGTTGCAATGCACTGCAAATGATTTTTGAGAGTTTGGAATTTTTTCACGTGGACTCATAAAAATGTCTTGAAACAATGTGCAGATTTCAACCCAAATTTCCTCCCTCCGTTCGTACACGTTAGTCGTGTGAGCTCGTACACAAGCGGCACTTCGCTCCCCAACGCTGCGCTCGCTATTATTTTTTTTAAAGTGACAAATGAAATTATATTTCCTGGGCGAATATGTTATTGTTCTTTTTTATGGTACAACATGTTAATGTAATAATACTTTGTAAAATTGCAGTACAATCAGTCAAAGACCAATATCAATTCTTCCAACATTGTCCAAATTGATTGAAAAACACATCACCAGTTAACTACCTCTACCTTGATCTTTATATAAATCACAATCTGGTTTTCAAGAGTTTGATTCCTGTCAAACAGCATTAACGAAACTAACAGACAATTGGTTACAGGCTATGGATCAAGAAAATCTTGTAGGGATAACTTTTTTAGACTTTAGTACAGCATTAACGAAACTATAACAGACAATTGGTTACAGGCTATGGATCAAGGACATCTTGTAGGGATAACTTTTTTTAGACTTTAGTAAAGCATTCGATTTAGTCAAATACGAAATTTTGATAAATAAGCGTAAGTTGTATCATTTTGACCAAATGTCAATTAAATGGTTTATTCCTATTTAAGGATACACCAAAGGCTTTTTTCAAGATTTTTGTCAATTTTGAGATTTTGGCTAAGAAAACAATGCTAATCACTGCTTTATAATGCATGAAAAATTCTTGCTGATTATTAAATGGTTTTCTAATTGTTTAACAATAATCAAACATAAACACTAACGCATGTGAATGTGCCGTTATTGAAGCTTCTGATTTGGTCTGTAACTGCCTGCTTCTGAAAGGAGCAATAAATCACTGTGACCACTTGGGGAATTCTTCACTAGCCACACAGAGGCTATCAGTAATTAAACTATAGGGACTCTAGATTTAGGGAAGGAGATCTAACAGGTCACTAATGACCATGAAATAGGAGGTGGAGCTTAGCTCTTGCCATTTTGCCGGGAAATCTTTCTGATTCAGAATTGAACCTATTTTACTTCATTAAAAGCACCTAGATAAAGAACAGAACCTCCCATTCTTGTGAATATGCATAGGAAATATGGATAAGTGACAGGTATCCAAAGCTGAATCTCCGAGGTGTCATATATTTCCAGCTTTGGCAGACTTTGTTGTGTAATGGGTTTTTGCCCTCTACTGTAAAGTAAGATCACACAGTTGGTGGTATTATTTAAAAGGATTCAGCTCCCTTATTTATTGACCAATTTCTCTGAAAACTGGCCAGAATGCGTCTCAAATGTGTGTTCACAAAACCGTATCTCAGATTTTTGATATCTTGCTCAGTTCTCGAATTATTGGGGGAAATGTAGAATTAGGCTAATAAATTGGTAACATTGAAAGACAAATGGATGTAACTTTTGAATAAGAAGATTTATCAAAAATCTGAGATACGGTTTTAAAGTTCAATCTTTGGTCTACATTGAGGCAAAATTTTGACTTTGAGAGGTGGAATACAAAAAAGCTGATTTATAAAATATAAATGCACTAATATTTACATTAAAATATTAATAATTTTTTAATAAGATAAAATTGAAAATTTAAATTAAGATCATTAAATAGTGAATTTAACAAGCTTTCAAATGATATATACTTTTAATATGTTATCTTTGCATTTGTTAATGAAAGAATTACAAGCAAATTAAATTTTGCCCTTTGGAAACCTTTGGTGTATCCTTAAGCTTCAGGATACAATGTGTAAAATTAGGTTCATATTCCTCTAAATTCTTTGTAAGTCCTTGACATAAACTATTTACATTATGTAAAATTAAAAAAATTCTCCCATTACACTCACAAAAAACTTTTCTATTACGCATACATTCTGCCTTCCTTAAATTATTGTTTGACTATTTGGGACAATGCCCCAGGTGCTGGCATACGAAGACTTTTTAAATTCTAAAAAAAAAAAAGCAGCAAGAATTATTTTAGATGTGGCACCAGATGCCCCATCCCTTTACTATTATTCGTGAAACTTGGTTGGTTGAATTGTGTATGAATTGATTATGTATGAATTGATTATGTATGAATTATTATAATTATTATTATTATTACTATTTCTATTATTATTATTAAAGTATACCGGTGGATTATAACAACAGCTGACGAAAGTAATAGCGGGCGTAGCGAGGCGGCGCGAATCGCCATTCGCGTAGCGAGCTCCATAAAAAACGTGTACGAACAGAGGAATTTCAGGTTGAAAGCTTCACATTGTTCAAAGACATTTTATCGTCCCGCGTGAAAAAAATCTAACTCACAATAATCCTTTGCAGGGCATAGCAACACGGTGGCTAAAACACAGCAACAACTTATTTTTTAAAAAAAATACAAACAACGATTTATAATGCTGTAAACTATCGGTCGCTTCTTTAGTCCACAGGACTCTTTATATGACGTCATACCTTCGACACTCTCACGTTTCAGGAATTTTCGATTTCATCGAAATCTCGATTTCCTTTTTTTTTCCTTTGTTTTCTTCCTTTCTCTTTCTTTTTTTAAATGAACGGAGGATAGGCAGTACACGTGTAGGTTTTTGATAGTACATAACTGCGCTCGCCGCAACGGTCACATCGTAAAACATATTATAACACTAACAGCAATTCATGAATGTAACGGAATTTTTACAGTAATACATGCATCTGGATTTTACGAGACGGTAATTCACGAATGTAATGAAATACCTAAAGTGAAACCTGGAATGACAACCAAAGGATGTAATGACATACTTATGACAATCAATGGACGTGATCCAATTATTTGCAAATTACGGATATAATCAAATGGATGAAATGAATTTCAAAGAATTTCAATTTGTAATTTAATACTTTTATAAAAGGCAACCAATGTATGCAATTATATGCAATGTAATACGTTTTGTAAATAATATATGAAATGCAACTAACTTAAGACAGCCATTGGATGTAATGATTTTTTTTTACCACAACTGATTAATGTAAAATATTACTAACGACAACCGATAGATGTTATTTAATACATTCAACAGCAATGGATGTGCTGTCGTACTTTCAGCAACCAAGAAATGCAATGCAATACTTGCGACAACGAATTGATGTATAATGTAATACCTGCGATAAACATTGCAATTATTGTAATACATGTACTTATGGCATTTCACATTTAATGTTGACATTCCCAATGTCTTTGTTTGAGATAAAATTACAAATAGTCCAATGTACTTTATTTATCCATCAATGTACTGGTTCATCGATAGGCGCGGTTAAAAAATCATGTGCAGGGGACAAGTAGAGACAAGAAGCGGGGCTTCTGACACGTGGATTGGGGCATCAATACCATGTAAAGGAATAACTGTCTTATTTTTCGATTTCATAACGTTGATCAATCGATTGGCTTGCGTGATAATTTTATGCATAAAGGCCTTCGGCGTTTATGCAAATCATCACGCAAGCCAATCAATTAATCACACTTAAAATAAAAAAATAAGATAGTAATTATTCCTTAACAGTGGCGGATTTAAGGGGGGGGGGGGGGGGCGCCGGGTGCGCTTTACCCTAAAAAATCTCTAGAATCCAGGAGCTTCCGGGGGCTTCGCCTCCTGGCCCCCCCACCAGGGATTTGTCCTGGAACTACTGGGGCCTCAAGGCGGCCCACAGACCCCTTGCCTACGTTTGGCACCCCCTCTAACTTCAATTCCTGGATCCGCGCCTGCTTTAATCAATACCACATTCAATTCGATTTTCAAGAAAACTTACGGCAGCCGATCTTTGTACATCTAACCTGTCCATTGCCTGAGCAGAAACATGTATTACACCCATCTGTAGCTGGAAAGTTTACCCCGGCGGGATAAAACCGACCATTATAAAAACAGCCACCTATAGGATAAATCAAATATTAAACAAGAGGCCCATGGGCCACATCGCTCACCTGAGTAACTTGGGTGATGAAGTTCTTTACCAGATTTCCCCTCTTGCTATACCTATCATGCCCCCTTCCCCCACCCTTTTCATGATTTAAATACTTTAGAATCTACACTACCCCAGGATGCTTTCACATATGTTTCAGCTTTCCTGGCCCAGTGGTTTTTGAGAAGAAAATTCTTAAAAGATTTTTCCTAAATATTTCTATGTAAAACTTATATTCCCTATTGTGGACCCGCCCTTCCCCCAGGGGTTTTGATTTTAACAATTTAATATCTACTGTACCCAAGGATGCTTCCACATAAGTTTCAGCTTTCCTGGCCCAGTGGTTCTTGAGAAGAAGATTTTTAAAGATTTGTTCTATACATTTCTTTGTAAAACTTATATGTCCTATTGTGGCCACACCCTTCCCCCGGGGGTCATGATTTTAACAATTTAATATCTACTCTACTTAAGGATGCTTCCACATAAGTTTCAGGTTTCCTGGCTCAGTGGTTCTTGAGAAGAAGATTTTTAAAGATTTGTTCTATACATTTCTATGTAAAATTTATATTTCCTATTGTGGCCTCGCCCTTCCCCAGGGGGTCATGATTTTAACAATTTAATATCTACACTACCCAAGAATGCTTCCACATAAGTTTCAGCTTTCCTGGCCCAGTGGTTCTTGAGAAGAAGATTTTTAAAGATTTGTTCTATACATTTCTATGTAAAATTTGGATTCTCTATTGTGGCCACGCCCTTCCCTCGGGGGTCGTGATTTTAATAATTTAATATCTACTCTACGCAAGGATGCTTCCACGTAAGTTTCAGCTTTCCTGGCCCAGTGGTTCTTGGGAAGAAGATTTTTAAAGATTTGTTCTATACATTTCTATGTAAAACTTGGATTCCCTATTGTGGCCACGCCCTTCCCCCGGGGGCCATGATTTTAACAATTTAATATCTATTCTACCCAAGGATGCTTCCACATAAGTTTCAGTTTTCCTGGCCCAGTGGTTCTTGAGAGGTAGATTTTTAAAGATTTGTTCTATACATTTCTATGTAAAACTTGGATTCCCTATTGTGGCCAAGCCCTTCCCCCGGGGGTCATGATTTTAACAATTTAACATCTACTCTACCCAAGGATACTTCCATATCAGTTTCAGCTTTCCTGGCCCAGTGGTTCTTTAGAAGAAGATTTTTTAATGACCGCACCCTTTTTTGTCTTTTCTTGATTATCTCCCCTTGTAAGGGGACTTGGCCCTTCATTTTAAGAATTTAAACTTCTCTTTATCTAAGGATGCTTTGTACAAAATTTGGTTAAAATTGGTCCAATGGTTCTTGAGAAGAAGTCGAAAATGTGAAAAGTTTACTGACGGACAGACGGACGGACGACGGACAAAATGTGATCAGAAAAGCTCACTTGAGCCTTCGGTTCAGGTGAGCTAAAAACAATACGGTGTTAACAGAAATTGATTAAATTTGTATTTCCAAATAAACCATTTTCAAGTAAATCAATTTATTATTAGCAGAAATCCTTCTAATAAAATATCTAATTTCCACAGTCTAAACCAAATGGACTTTTGAATGATTGAAAATTATATTTCTTTCAAAAATTACCCCCCCCCCCTTCTATAAGTACGACATAAGTTCCTGCAGTAATTTTAAAAACATGATTTTATTTCCAAAGGAAATTTAGCAAAATTAATATACCGGTAGTAAACAGAGGAATTTTTGGGAAAATGAAATAATTATAAAAATATAATCAAGAATAAAATAGTGCTTTTTCGAGAGTAATCTCCCTTATCCAACGGGTCTATCCACCTTAAGTCTAATACCTGATTGTGGTCCAGGTCCGTATACTGGCTTGACACAGGAAGTTCTACACCCGCATCCGAATCTAAAAAAAACCTTGAATGATGATCTATTTTTTTAATATAAACAAAATACCGTATATCCGTTTTTTTGCGGTGATCTATTTTTCGCATTTTTTGCGATGATTTTTAATTTGCAAAATATAAAACACGCAGAAATTATATCAGCTATAATGTGACATAAAAACATTACCATTTTAATAAAAACAAAAAAATTTCAATCGTAAAAAAATATATACTGTACTAATCTACCCCTTTTTCGCAAAATTTCCAACACACGAAAAAAACGGATATACGGTAAATGGCTTGATTTGTTAAATTAAATGTGTGATCTGGGAGGCGATTGATTATTTGATTAAATGATAGTAATATGCTGGATCATAAAAGATACCAAGATTTTAGGAATGCAGTCGATAGAATTTGAGATAATATTCCATTGATTAAATGAGATTATATATGAAATCGAGAGTTTTTAAATGAAAAGGAAATTAAGTATATCAAGAAATATTTGTCATTTTCTGAATTGTCTTCTAGTTTTCATTAACGTGCTTATTTGGGTAAACATTTTGAAATTCATTGTAGGATAGAATGTTCAACTAAGCCTCTTTCTTTACTCCTCACTGGGATATTGTTATACAGTTGTGAAGAAGAAACTTAAAGAGTACTGTGCAAGAAAACATTCGAGAAGTGATGTAAATGTGGATACTTAAAAATTCCAAGAAACTTTTTAGCAATTTGAAATCACAATATTTTACCAAAATCAACTGTTACAGATTAAAAACTTACGACTTTTACAGGAACCCGCTATGTATCTTTACAAAGTAAAGTTTATGAAGTTCAGGAATCCGATATAAGAGAGGTGATTAAAACGTTCGCGAACTATCTCTATATCTACAAAACCACAATTCAGATTAGAATAAAATTTGGTACACATATAGCCATACATATTCTATAAATAGCATATATGCTGAATAAAGTTTTGTTCCTTGTTTGTGACGTCACAATATGAAAATGACATCACTATGTAGGTCACTTGTGACCAAAAATGGTTGTCTCTGTCGAACTCTTTTAACAAACAAGTGTACAATTTATTGTATATCTTATAAAGCCCTTGGCCGTAGCATATAACAATTTGTACACAGTTAATTAAGACAAACGACTTCCTATAAATTTAATCAAATGACCAATTGATCGTTTTCGTGAAGGAAGGCAGATGGTTAAAAATGAACCTGCCATGTTGCCCAGTGAAAGTAAGTTTGAAAAGATATGTGTTTTCAACTATTCAATTTGCTATAAAAGACCTCCAATTTACACTTTGAATAATAGTTGAATATTTGAACAATATTTGAAGCAATCGTTTACTTTAGATTTTAAACGTATTAGATATGATAAAAAGGAGCTTCCCATTCTCTATCCACCTTGAATAAACGTCTCTCCCGAGACAGAAGATTTGTGTTTTAATGGTCGCCATGCGTATTTTTGGAAAGGATATGCTTATCCATCCATTCTGTTGCCGAGATTTGACCATTTCTGACAAATGAACTGTTCTTGTTATAAAAATTACCTTACATGGAAAGAGATATAAAACTCTGGAAAATCTTTCAGCTTTTGTGACAGAACGATACGGAGGGGGTCAGGTTACCTCCAATATCACGTGATTCGCGCATGTGCAGAACGGTGGCTGATGTTCATTAAAATTGGAGAGGACTAATTTAAAATATAATTAACACTGAAACCAAATATTGTTTCTTTTATGGAAGTTATTTAATTAGTTCGCAAACTTTTTGATCACCCCTCGTAGATATCGTAATTCAAATTAATTTTGGTTGTTAGGGCTATTAAAACTGGCACATCATTTTGAAAAATTTCTTCCTTAGAAACTATGAGTTCCCTTTCGTTGGATTACAAGATCTTCTAATTTATATAATGAGCCTTACAAAAGAAGACACGGACAAGTACATACATATCATGCAATCTATCTAATTCTTTTTTCACTTCTGGATTATTGAAGACAAAAGGATAGATGGTTTTCAAACTGCCCCTCAAACTTTTAATACGCGATTGTTAGATAGACCTGAAAATCTTATCTGGCACAATCTGTGTTTCAAAGAAAAAAACTGTTGAAAATGTAAACAATATAAGATAAAAAAATGCATTTGCAAACACAAATTCAAATCACTACAACTCATCGACCCAGCAATCACTGTCACGTGTACATTAAGTTTGACCAGGTGGACAGTCACATGTTGTAATGATGTCATTCCGAGGGCACCGTCCAGGTTTCTCCCTCGGGAAGCCGTGCAATCCTCCAGCGTGGACTACGCTTACAACCTGTGTTATTGTAGACGTTAATGGTAATCTAACAATTAACCATGCTCTATGATAAACGTGAAGACTTTAACTTTTAAATCGTAAACTACCCATACTTATGCAGCAAAGTACCCTCTTTGTCTGCATACGGAGTTTTTATCTCTCAGCTGATTTGATACGCAAGAGCATACTCTACGTCTGTGCAATATCTAAAACGAGGTAAATTATTGGCAAAGAAGTTGATGTTAACTCTGCTCCTATTTTGTATTGTTTTATGGACTTGTGAGCTTGAATACTGTATATTTCGTTTCATAAAAGGTGAAGATAACTAATTGATCTCTCTCAACAGTCCTATGAACAATAAAGATGCAAAACCAGGAAAAGGAGGTGGGGGGGAGGGGGTAAAACACCAGAAATAAGTTCAAGTCAATTAAGGAATAAAAGCAAGAAGAAACTTTTAAGAAAACGTTCTTAATAACAAGGGAAAATTGGAATATCGCAATACTCATATACAATATTAAGTTTTTTAATTTTTGGGATTATTGCAAAATATATAAAAATCTCAGTATTTGACTTAGTTTTTTTTTTCAGTTTATCGACCAAAAAAGACATTTTTAAGCGGATTCTCTGTTATTGAAGTTGTTGAAAATTTTGTTTTTATCTGCAATTAATAAAATTATTAAGTAAATAAAGGAAATTCTAATTATTTTTTTTTCTGTTAAAAAGCATCTTCACTAACCAATAAAAAGACAAATTCCTGTGTCGACCTCAATTGGTGAAGTGTTTTAAAACATCAAAAGTTCTGCTATTTTATAGGTGTAACAAGGGGTTGCATTAAGTATGCAATTCACATCTTAACGTGACTCCAATGTCATCAACATTTTACCGTTCGGTATTACAAGGTTCTCATGTAGAAAGCAACGGTTTCCAATTCTATTATTGATTCCATTATAATAACATGCTCCCTCAGCATAATTATATTAATGAACCTTATATCTTTCAGTTTTCAGGCGATTGTAATTTCTGACACGAATGATGAATTTAAATTTTAGCAAATGTTTTTTTTTATTTAATTTGATATTTGCTTCCTGTATAGAAATATTTAAAGAGAAACTTGATTTGTCTTATATCTGGTTATTTTTTTTTTATTATGATACTTTACCAGATTATTTTTTTTATTACTCAAACTACAATAACCAGATAATAATTTTTTTTTCATTAAATTTATATCGTCAAGTTATCAATCCATCGATCATTCTATAGCAAGCGCTCATTCGTTTTTTTTTTTTTTTCTTTATTATTTCCCCATTCTTTTATTGTTATTTTTCTCAAATTTGTATTTATATTTGTTACTACTCCTGTATTTATTATTTAATTATCTTTTTGTTAATTCAACCACTTTCTATTGTTTTTTCCCCATACTTATTGTACATCTATTAGATATCTTCCGTTTAATTAGAACGTCATTCATTTGTGTAATTTAACATGATTTCATACTCAATATATATGTCAATCTCAAATATTGTTGTAATGCAGCTTAAAACCGTATTATGTAATTATCTTATAAGGGTCTGTCACCTTTATCATAAATAATAAGGAAACGGATTAGTATAACT